AAATCAATCTGGTTCTTAAAAAAGAAGGCTTTTAATTAAAGAAAAAGGTAAAAATCATCTCTGTAAAATCAGTATGGAAAATAACTTTACAGGGTAATCAAACTTAAAGAGCTCAGAGGACCCCCCTCTGTCTTAGGTTCAAAGTACAGCAAACAAAGATACACACTCTGGTAAAAAGGTACATTTACAAGTTGAGAAAACAAAGTAAATCTAAGACGCCTTGCCTGTCTTTTACTTACTAGTTTGAAATAGGAGAGACTTGGTTAGAAAGATGGGGAGAACCTGGATTGATGTCTGGTCCCTCTCAGTCCCAAGAGCGAACCACCCCTTAAAACAAAGAGCACACACGAAAGCCTTTCCTCCCCCCCCAAGATTTGAAAGTATCTTGTCCCCTTATTGGTCCTTCGGGTCAGGTGTCAGCCAGGTTACCCGAGCTTCTTAACCCTTTACAGGTAAAAGGATTTGGAGTCTCTGTACACAGAGAGCTGTTACCCTTCCCTTTATAGTTATGACAACTCCCATCACCAGTCCCAGTTAAATCAATGGGGCTACACAGGGGATGAATAAAGCCAGCAGGATGTGAGTGCTTCATGCAGGAATATCAATCTGCACAGGAATATTTTGCTAGTCTTATTGCTCACCGCGTTGTGTAATTAAATCAGAATTGCTGAATCTCGGTAGGAATCATCCTCATTATCTCCAGTGTTTTGATAACTCCAGTCCCTGTTTTGCGAACACTTGCATGGAAATTTCAAGCAATAGCCGCAGAATTTTCCTGACTCAGGTGTGTGAACACAGGGCGTCATCCAGCGAACACGGAACTAAATAGCAGGTTGTTCTGGGCTGTTTTTCCCTCTGAGTTCCATGGGCTTTCCATCAGTCTGTAGCAGTGCGATAGTATTAACAGCGCACTACCTACAACAACGCGTCTTTACTCAAGTTACCCAGGTCACAAACAATCAGATTTCCCATGGTAAGGAGAGTCCACCCAATGTATCGCTGGAACTGTTCCAGGGAAGTGTTGAAAACACTCTGGGGACCTCGTAATCTTTAATGAATTCGTCCTCACAACAACACTGAGAAACAGACAGGAAAGTGCTGGTGTGTCCGAAGTGCAGATGGGGGCCTGAGACACAAGGGGAATACGTTACACTTGCCCAGGGTAACCAAGGAAGTCTGTGGAGGAAAAAGGGGAGGGAATCCCCATACCCATAACCCCAGCCTGGATCCCTAACCACTGACGTCCGACTCTGTCTTCCTGAATGCCCAACCCTAGATTTTCAGATGGGCTCTTAAGGAATTTGTCTCTCTTATAAGGAGGGGGATATGCAAATAGGAGTGACAGGTTCCTGTTTAAATCTGTCCCACTCTATGCCCAGGCTGCAGCCGGAGAGACCCTCCGCAGCCCCCTGGGTCTGTGCAGTTACCGGCCAACAGTCTGAAAACTTTTCCCGACAACAACGCGGAAAATGACACTTTGGCTCCATTTGGTTTTCTTTGTAGCGACTCTGGAAGGTAATTTATCCCCCATTAATACACAGGAGGGGTCGGGTATCTGGTATTATTGCTGCTGCTATCGATGTGGTGTGGGACACTTCTCTCTTCTGTCGTCTCACCCCGACTGATGTACAAAGTGCCCAGTGTGGCGGGTTCTCTCACTGTTCCCTGGTTATTTTCCATTGAACCCAGGGCTACTGACTGGTTTCCTACGGTGACTAAGCTTTATTTACAGTCTCCCATTTTCCCTTCTCCCCCAGGGGCCCGCTCGCAGGTGGTTCTGACCCAGTCGGGGTCAGCGCTGAAGAAGCCCGGAGAGTCCCATAAACTGCAATGTGCCACCAGCGGGTTCACTCTGAGCAGCTACTGGATGGGCTGGATCAGACAGGAGCCAGGAAAAGGGCTGGAGTGGTTGGCTTACTATTACGGTGAGTCGAACACCAAGTCCTACGCCTCCTCCGTCCAGGGCCGATTCACAGCCTCCAAGGACAGCGCCAACTTCTACCTGCAAATGACCAGCCTGAAAGCGGAGGACACCGCCGTGTATTACTGTGCCAGAGACACAGTGAGGGGAAGCAAGTCTGAGCTCAGACAAAAACCTTCCCCTGCAGTAACAGCGCAATGTGTCCGCTGCTGACGGCGCCAACCAGCCCCCGACTGCCAGGGACGGGTGATGAGAGCAGCCCGGAGAAAGTCTCCCAGGCTATAAATAGTTGCAGGCTCGGACAGTTTCGCTATGGGGTTAGTTCCCCCCCACCCAAATTCCTCTGAGCGTCACATGCTGCCATTGAAATGTTTATTCTCACCCGTTTCTTCTTTTCCAAGCACACGGACAGGATTACAAAGGCACCACACTCACCCGTGTATCCACACGTGAACACTCGCAGTACAACACACACAAACGAAAGCAAGCTGCACACATACGCAGAAATAAACCTACTGACAATCACATCCCGCGCAGGACACAAATACACAAACGCAGAAACACGCATAAAAGCGTAAACAGAGGGTGACCTTCAGCAAGGCCCTGTGCCTCAGTTTACACGTTTAGCAGCATTGGAGAGAATGACTTTTTCTTTCTTTGCCGGTGAGCCATGGCTGGGAAATCACTAGGGAAGTGTTGGGTGATATTATCAGTAGCAGCAGCAGAAGCTAAGACAGCAGCAGGTGTACTATACTCTCTGCTTTCCATGTCTCATCCTCAGGCAGAAAGGGCACTGCCTGATGCTTTGATGAGCCAATGTCCTTACTAATGTTTTGCAAGATCCTTTATTCTTTACTCCCATGACCGGTCCCATTTAAATCAATGGGGTTACACAGGAGACGAATAAAGCCAGCACGATGTGATTGTTTCATGCAGGAATATCAATCTGCACAGGAATATTTCGCTAGTCTTATTGCTCACCGGGTTTGTAATTAAATCCGAATTGCTGAATCTCGGTAGGAATCACCCTCATTATCTCTGGTTTTATGTTCCCCGTTTTGCGAACACCTGCATTGAAATTTCAAGCAATAGTTCCAGAATTTCCCTGACTCAGGTTTATAACACAGGGCGCCATCCAGCGAACACTGAATCAAACAGCAGGTTTTTGCGTTTTTTTCCCCCTTTGACTTTCCTGGGCTTTCCATCACTACTGAGCAGTATTTACAGCGTACTTCCCACAGCAACGCGTCTTTACTCAAATTACCCAGGTGAGAAAACAGTCACATTTCACATGGGAAGGAGAATCCACCAAAAGTATCCGTGGAAATGTTCCAATGAAGTACTGGAAACGCTCCCGTTCATTCAATGATCTTTGGCCCAGGACCAGGCGAGGACATTCCTGTATTTTAGGCCCTTACATGGCCACATCACATGGTATCTGGGAACCTCATAATCTTTAATGCATTTATCTTCCCAACAAGTCTGTGAGGCAGGAAAGTGTTATTTATGTCTGTGGAAGTAGAGCAAGAACTGACAGGGATTTGAATGGGATTTCAATGCATACAGTCTCTTCTGTGATCAAGAGTCAGGCTAACTGTAACCCTAATAACGCGAGATTTGTAGAAGCAAGGTTTGTGTGAGGCAAATGGGAAAGAACTGTGTGAGAAGTTGTTGCGACCTTATGTAGATAAGTATGGAATGTAGACTAGAGTCTAAATAGATGTGAAAAATAAGATATCAGGATGACCTATGTATAAACAAAATGCAGCTGTTGCTCATTATTGTATGTAAGAAAGGTATAAATGCTTGCTGTAATTGTTTACCTGGAGAGAGACCTGCCTAGGAGAGGAAACTCTGTGTCCGAGTGCACTCTCTCCCTCTATGCAATTGCTTGAGAATAAAGTATCTGACTTTGCTGCACCCAACCAGAGAGTGAGAACTCTGTTTTTCTCCAACATTTCCATAGGTGGACAGGGGCGTAAGGTTTGTATAATTTTTGATGGTGCCCAGAATAGGTCCAAGTCTCCCCCCCTACAGACACACACACACTGCCTAAGGCTCTGGGAGGGAGT